AAAGAATGGTCCTACCTTGCAACATGTTCAAAGTATGTCAGACAAAGCTTCAGAATCCTTGCCTCCAAGGAGCAGCCTGGTTGAAGTCTCTTTAGGATGAACCTGTTCATTTTCTTAGCAGTCCATGGTATACTCAACACTCTTCTCCAGCACCACAGCTCAAAGGCATCAATTCTCCTTCTATCGTCCCTAGGCATCGTCCAACTCTCTGACACATAGCAACTGATTGCAAAGACTATGGCCTGTTATCAGGCACACCTTAAGTCTCCAGAGTAACACCATTGCTCTTCAGTACTTTGAAGAGGTTCCGAACAGCAGACTTTCCCATTGCAATGTTGTTGTTAAGTGCTGTCAGGTTGCAGGTGACTCATAGCGACCCTATGAAGGAGAGTCCTCAAGGCTTGGGTGCCTTTCATCCTCTCTCCAGGTTCATAGGTTTTCCGGAGGCAAGCTGTTATGGAAGTGGATACCAATCCTGCTTCCAAGCTTGTTTTAAATGGGGAGCTCCTCTCCACTCTGTCCACAATGGGTAACCAACTCTGGTGGATTTTTCAGAGGCAGATAATCTTACGGGAGATTGCCCATCTTTCTCCCGCAGAACAGCTCACTGCCTAGATCCACATGCCTTCAGGATTGCAGCTCTGCTTCTTGCCAGTAGGCCACCCTATCAATCAGAATATGGTCCCTAAAATTCAGGAAGTACAGGCTTATATGGAATGAAGCTTAACATTAAGAAGACAAAGATTCTCATCATTGGACCAGTTGGTGCATCATAACAGATGCGGAAGAGATCGAGGTTATAACAATTTCAGCTTGTGCGGCTACATAATCAACTCTTGGCACCTACAGTCAGGAAATCAAAAGATGAACTGCACTGGGAATGCTGCTGTCAGGGACCTCTCCAAAGTGCTAATAAGCATTAAAGTCAGCCCAGAAACTAAGGAGTGTCTGATCCAGGCCATGATCTTCACAATTACTTGCTAAGCATCAGAGAGAATTGATGTTTTTGAAGGGGGGGGGTGCTGGAGAAAAGTAATTAACATACCACAGACCACCAGGAGAACAAAGAGGTCTATCTTGGAGAGGGTGACACCAAGTTCTCCTTGGGAGAAAAGGATGCTGAAGCTTCATCTTACATACTTTGGGCACATGGGCAGGAGGAACCAGTCCTTGAAGAACATGATGCTTAAAAGAATGGAGAGAGAGTGGAGAAAACAACCCCGGATGAGATGGACTGACATGGTAACTGAAGTAATGTGATTAGGTGTGTTGAAGTCAGTAAGACCAGCTCAAAACAGAAGGGTTCAGAACTATTGTACATATAGTCACTGTGAGTCGTGGATAACTCAATGACACATAACTTGATCATTCCATGTATATTAAAGGAAGATTTTCTGCTGTGAATGCAAATTTACCATGCAAACAGAGACACGATCATTCCCCAGGCCCCCAAATTCTTGTTCTCTCATGTCCTCACCACCCATCCAGCATTTAACATCACCACTCCAACACCCTCGGAGTTAATCCCTCTCCATGTCAGGCAAGAACACAGTTTTGTGTGTATGTCTACAATCCCGTTAACACCTTCCTTTCCTAAGGTGTCTTATATAGGAAAACACTCTTGACATACACACATCCTCAGCTCCAAGGTCAAGGTCCATTTATTCTGAATCAGCTGTTCCTAGGTCATGGCTCCTGAAGTAAAGCTTAAGTGATTTGCCATTTACAAAGTTCAAAACTCAGTTCAACGTCATCCATTAGGAATCAATGAAGAGCTGATCCTCCAATGGTTCTTAGGAGGCTGTAAATCCACAGGAGAGCATCCGTCTTACTCCCAGAGATGCTGCGAGATTTGCACAACTGCCTAGGGACTATGTCACCAAATCTCACTAAATTATCAAAGAGATCAGCAAATAGGCTGCTCAAGGTTAAGCAGCACTGATTCACTATCAACTCACTGTGCTGCTGACTGGACGCTGTAAGTAGCAGTAACATCTCAAAGATGTGTGTGCATAGCGTTGGAGGATACAAGGTCCCCTGCATCATATCCTCAAACAGTTGTTTTCTTTCAATCTAGAGACACATTTTCTGCCTCTTTTCACAATGTCCTTCTGTGTTTCATCTGAAAGCTGTCAGATGAAACTGAACGATACACTGTCCCTTATAAATGCACAAGACCACTTCCAGAAATTTTTGGTTTCAGATTTGCTATCATAGGCAGCTAGGGTATTCTGGACATGTCACTTAGCCCTAACGGGACTCCTTTTTCTGTTCATGTGTTTCATTATCGTTGTTATGTACTGTCAAGTTGGAACTGACCCGTATCTGATGCTCCAGTGGGTTTCAAAGGCAGTTAATTTACACAGGAGATTGCTGATCCTCATTCCTACGAGGGAGCTCGAAGATTTGAACCATGTCCCTTCGAGACTGCAGCACAGATTTTTAACAGTTGGCCACCAGACCTCCCTAAGAGCCTCAGTTCAAACTTCACCTATACAAAGAATCTAAAGCAAAGATGGAGCCTTTGGAAATTTAATCCAATTGTCAAATGTAACCATCCCAAGACAACTCACATTATGGAGAATCTTCTAATTTTAAATAGCTTAATTCTTCACATTAATTCTAAGAAATGGCTATTCTTTTGTGTGTGTGTGTGTACACACCATCAAATCGGATCTGACTGGTACAGGAGATTGTCCCTCCTTCTCCAGCAGAGCATCTGGCGGATTCAAACTGTGTACCTCTGGGATTGCAGTGCAGCTTCTTACCACTAGGCCACGAGAGCTCCCTTATTCTATTTTTACAACTGAGGAACTTGGGGTCAGGAAGGCAAAATAATTTATCCACAGTTATAAGTAAGGAAACGGAGGTGCAAAGATTTGAACAACTACAGATTTCTATAAGCCCTTGTGCTTTCTTCTCCACCTCAAGCAAATTTACTCTACCTCTTGAATTCCTTAGAGCGAAGCTCCTTGCATCACTTCAGAAACTAAAACCTAATCAAATAGCTGATGCCCAATTTACCCCATTAGTAGACACAGAGACTAACAGAAAAGGAAACAATGACGGGGACACATGAGCTCCCTCTCCGAGTGTGCTGTTTCTCTTGAGGTAAATCACCTTAACTTCTTTAATCATACTTCTTGGGGATTTATAGAGCTACAAAGTTTCTCTTTTTAACTTCTCTAAAAGTCCACATTTCCTTACAGGTTAACTCAGAGGTGTGCAGCAATTCAAGTTCTGATTTGATGGTTTTAAGTATGTGATTATCCCCCCTGATCTACTCATATCCAACTCTAAAGCCTGAATCCTTACCTTAATCACATACTTCAAACTGTATTTCTAGGTGAGGCCTGAAGGGATGCAGAGAAGGAAAAAATCAGGAAGTAGAGGGGCTAAAGGGAAAAGCCCACTGGGGCCTCTAAAGCAGGCACAAACCCGAGACGTAAGTGATGGTTAAAAAAATTTGGGTTTTATTGTTTTGCTAAACAATAATTAAAAAAAATTCATTTTGAAGGCAGGGCTTGAATTATTTAATTTTGATCCATTTATTTAATTAAAAAAAAAAGGAAGGGGAAAGAGATCATGGCCAAAAAAAATAGCAATTAACTCCCCCACCCCTACCTCCAGCCAGTCATATGAGCATCACCCACATCCCACATCACTTGGTGTCTGATATTCAGATGGTGACACTCTCTGCCCCATATGATGGCTCTAAAGGCACAGGGGCATTTGGGTGCCAGTTTTAGCTCTCCACAGGTTAATCAAAACCAAACTGGTGAGCTAAAGTCTAGAAAGTCTTCCAGGTTTTCCACCCATTGGCTGAGTAATACAAACTGTGATAAGCTTGTAAAATTTAAGGGGGGAGGAGCACAGGAATAAGAGGTTGGCAGGTGAAAACTATAGGTCACCCAAGGTTTCTCTTGGGCAAGTGGTTCTGGATACAGGTCAAGGTGGGTAGACTCCAGATTCCTTATAAAAGTCATCCATCCAGAAAGAGGAGCTGAGCCGTGCCATGCACAACAGTTCTTCCTGCAGAGGGCACAGGAGCAAGGGAAGCTCTCTCCCATCTTGGAGAGAGTGATGAGGTTCTTCTAGTATCATGAAGTAAGACAAAAGGCAGAGGGAGAATCCTGAGCTTGTGGTCACATGTGAGACTGGTACACACACAGTTAAAGACTACAAAGCCATCAGGGACCCTCAAACCCCAAATCCCATCTGCAGGCACTGGCTCTACAAAGTACTGCAGGAGATTCTTGCTGTGAACCAAGTCAAGTTAGGTGCCTGCATATGGGTGGTGGGGAGGACAATACATTTTTATTTTCCAAGGGATGAGGTGGGAGGAGTGGCCATGATCTAGTAAAAAGA